TGACCATCATGCGTTTACATTACATGTAGTCACTGGTCAGCAGCCTGGTTTCTGTGCGGCAGTATTTGCATAGAAGACTATAGACGAGGCGGACTGATTTGGTAAATAAGCGGAACAACCTGCAGAATTAGTGACAGGGATTATTAGTTCCCATATTTGCATATTTCTGACCTATAATGCAGCGCCTTATACAGTACACAGGCCCCACCCCAGAGGAGCTGATGGTGCATACAGAGTACACAGACCCCACCCCAGAGGAGCTGATGGTTTATACAGAGTACACATACCCCACCCCAGAGGAGCTGATGGTTCATACAGAGTACACATACCCCACCCCAGAGGAGCTGATGGTTTATACAGAGTACACATACCCCACCCCAGAGGAGCTGATGGTTTATACAGAGTACACATACCCCACCCCAGAGGAGCTGATGGTTTATACAGAGTACACAGACCCCACCCCAGAGGAGCTGATGGAGCATACAGAGTACACATACCCCACCCCAGTTGATACAGCGGACACATACCCCACCCCAGAGGAGCTGATGGTTTATACAGAGTACACATACCCCACCCCAGAGGAGCTGATGGTTTATACAGAGTACACAGACCCCACCCCAGAGGAGCTGATGGAGCATACAGAGTACACATACCCCACCCCAGAGGATCTGATGGTGCATACAGAGTACACATACCCCCACCCCAGAGGAGCTGATGTATACAGATTACACATACCCCACCCCAGAGGAGCTGATGGTGCATACAGAGTACACAGACCCCACCCCAGAGGATCTGATGGCGCATACAGAGTACACATACCCCACCCCAGAGGATCTGATGGAGCATACAGAGTACACATACCCCACCCCAGAGGATCTGATGGTGCATACAGAGTACACATACACCACCCCAGAGGATCTGATGGAGCATACAGAGTACACATACCCCACCCCAGAGGAGCTAATGGTGCATACAGAGTACACATACCCCCACCCCAGAGGAACTGATGGTGCATACAGAGTACACAGACCCCACCCCAGAGGAGCTGATGGTGCATACAGAGTACACAGACCCCACCCCAGAGGAGCTGATGGTGCATACAGAGTACACAGACCCCACCCCAGAGGAACTGATGGTGCATACAGAGTACACAGACCCCCCACCCCAGAGGAACTGATGGTGCATACAGAGTACACAGACCCCCCACCCCAGAGGAGCTGATGGTGCATACACATTGTACACCCTACACACGGCTGTAACATGACAAATGGTCCACATGTGGACTATACCTGTAACGTGTTGGTCCATCCTGACCCGGACACGGGATATATTCCAGTCAGCTCACTCGTCAGTCTTACGAGGTTCAGGAAAAAAAAAGTGGACCTGTCTGACCATGATCATGTCCTGCTTGTGTGTTATCAGCTGAAGGAACACCCGGATAAAGGGGTGTATGTGAGAGCGCTGTCCCTGCACACCGTGCACAGTGTAGCCGAGTGTGAGAAGATCATGGAGAGCGGCTGGAGGAACCGCTCGGTTGGATACACCTTGATGAATAAAGACTCATCCCGGTCACACTCCATCTTCACCATCAACATAGAGATCTGCACTATAGGTAAGGGGGGGAGGCGCGAGACATTCTGATGCCAACGGGATGGGGGAAAGAAGGCCGGGAAATCCCTGATGCAATGGGGGGGGGGATGGTATATACTGATGCTAAGGGGTTGGAGAGGGGGTGTCATTGATGTGATGGGGGAGAGGGTAGGATATCCTGATGCCAAGGGGTTGGAGGGGTGTCATTGATGTGATGGGGGAGAGGGCAGGAGAGGGGGGTGTCATTGATGAGATGGGGTAAAGGGCAGGAGAGGGGATGTCACTGATGTGATGGGGGAGAAGGCAGGAGAGGAGGTGTCATTGATGAGATGGGGTAGAGGGCAGGATATCCTGGTGCCAGGGGGTTGGAAGGGAGGCCGGGATACCCCTTATGAATGGGGTGAGGAGGTCGGAATGTTCCGGCAGTAACGGATCACACGTCGTCTCACAGATGATGACGGCGAGGATCATCTTCGGGCGGGAAAGCTGAATCTCGTGGACCTGGCAGGCAGCGAGAGACAGTCGAAAACCGGAGCCACCGGAGAGCGTCTGAAAGAGGCCACCAAAATAAACCTGTCCCTCTCCGCCTTGGGCAACGTCATCTCGGCGCTGGTAGACGGCAAGTCCAAGCATATCCCCTACCGGGACTCCAAGCTGACCCGTCTCCTGCAGGACTCGCTGGGGGGGAACACGAAGACTCTGATGGTGGCCTGCCTGTCTCCGGCCGACAACAACTACGACGAGACGCTCAGCACATTGCGCTACGCCAACCGAGCCAAAAACATCAAGAACAAGCCGCGCATCAACGAGGACCCCAAAGACGCTCTGCTGAGGGAGTACCAGGAGGAGATCAGGAAGTTAAAGGTCATGCTGACCCAACAGACCGTCATCGAAGACATGACCCGTAAGTGATCGCAGTATTTATAACACGTGTTGTATGCGAGGATCATGTGATCATCATGTCCCATCTTCCGCCAGCGTTGGAGAAGTTGCCGGTGAGGACGGAAGTGAACGGACAGGAAGTGGACGTGGAGGCGGAAAAGCAGCTGATCCGCCAGGTAATGCCGGCGTCGTCCCATGTGGCGACTAAGGATGGGCTCGGGCATGTGCGCAGCTCCACGTGCCCAGCCCGCCAGGAAGCTGACAGCGCGCAGCGCCAATCACAGACATGTTCCCGATCTCTGCAGCAAATACTCGGATAGTACAGGGTGGGGACAGGAGCAAGGGAATCAGAAGTCCTCCTATGGGGGGGGGGGCAATTATAGGGCATTCCTGGAGGGAGAATCCTCCAATAGGGACACTTGTTCCGGTGACAACTGTCTAAGAGGGTGTTTCCCTCACTTTAGAGAGATCACCTTTCACTTCCTGTTGTGTTTTGTGACAGGAAATGAAGGGAAATCTCCACAGTGGGACAGACAAAAAAAAAAAAAGGCATCAATGGTCCATGTGAACTCCGGATCTGGCCAGGAGAGGGACGTGCGCAGCCACCCTAAGGCCCCGTTCACACTGAGCGATTTATCACGCGCTAATTCCCGCGATATTGCGGCTATTTACCGCGCGATATCGCTCTCCAATGCATCTCAATGGGGCTCTGTCTGTAGCTGTTGCGGGTCGTGCGTCGCTACAGCAGGACCCTTTTTGGAGCGGATTTTGCCGCGATTTTAGCTTGCTCAATGCAAGCATTTGCGCGATATCGCGCAAAATGCAAATTTGCGAATCGCTCAATGGGAATGGGGCCTAAAGGGCCCATTGACATGTTCGGGAAGGTGCGCCGCCTCAGTGCGTTGGGGCGCCACGCAAAATGAATGGCGCAGCAATGCATGTGACGTGGAGGTGTCAGCGGGCCCTTAGGGGATAACAGTCATAGAATTATCATCAGATATGTGTCTATATATTGATCCTCCTACCTGATCCCGTGCACAGGAGTACGAGGAGAGGTTCGCTCGGCTGAGGGCGGAATACGAGGCAGAGCAGAAGTCCCGGGCGCGGCTGGAGGAGGATATCTGCAACCTGCGCACTTCCTACGACCAGCAGCTGGCCAGCATGGAGGAAGATCTGAAAAGGAGAGCAGGTGATGATTAGTACCGGGGAGGGAGCGTGCTGCAATCCTCCGAAGAGAGCGCAGGCACGCAGCAGTTCACAAAACGCATGGCCGAGGCCCGCCATTGTGGGGGGGGGGGCGTAACTTTTACTGTGGATGCCGCCATTTTGAATGATCACTGTCGGCACAAAGCTGAGCCCGCAGCGCCACGCAGATTCTGCGGCAGGGTTGGAGATTGGGATAGAAGGTTACCGGGCAATGAAAGTGTTATTTCCGCAATGCCGCATCTGTCTCCGATCATCAGATTGTACAGCGCTATAGTATACAGCGCAGACACGGCCTGATAGGAGAGAGCGTTGTATGTTCTCATCACAGATGTACAAAATGTAACCCAATTCAATGACCTTCCACAAAAACCGCCATCGTCTGCCGTTCACAGGTGTCAGTGTGACTGTCGGAGGACCCGCAGCGGAAGATCCAGCGATACAGGTGAGAGGATACATTGTGTATATACGGGGAGAGAATACACCCAGTACAGAGGATACATTGTATATATACAGGGAGAGAATACACCCAGTACAGAGGATACATTGTATATATACGGGGAGAGAATACACCCAGTACAGAGGATACAATGTATATATACGGGGAGAGAATACACCCAGTACAGAGGATACATTGTATATATACAGGGAGAGAATACGCCCAGTACAGAGGATACATTGTGTATATACGGGGAGAGAATACGCCCAGTACAGAGGATACATTGTATATATACGGGGAGAGAATACACCCAGTACAGAGGATACATTGTATATATACAGGGAGAGAATACACCCAGTACAGAGGATACATTGTATATATACAGGGAGAGAATACACCCAGTACAGAGGATACATTGTGTATATACGGGGAGAGAATACACCCAGTACAGAGGATACATTGTATATATACGGGAGAGATGGGGCAGAAGGGACGGGCACCTTGGGCTCAGCAGCAGCAGGGGGCCACAGAAAGGTCAGAACCTGTAACCAATGCTGCTGAAGTAGGCTCTTGGCCCTTGTAGGCCCTTGTCCTGGCACTGTGTGGCCCCGGGACACTGAGAAGTGCTGGTGAGGTTACAATAAAGTTTGGTTGGAATAATTGATGCGATCTCATGTCCTGGCGGCTGGTGTTACACTGCGGGGCCCCGTCACTGGACATGGCGGTCTCATAGACTCCCGGCGTCACTCAGCTCTGTGTCCTCCATTCTCTATGTCAGGAGGAATCGGCCCCGGTGGCTGCACAGCTGCGCAGTGTGAAGATGGAGGACCTGACCTCAGACTCCGCCTCCAACATGTTGCTACCCCCGGAGGAAAAAAAGCAGGTGGTGGGGGGCGAGCAGGCCAAAAACAAAGACCTGCGAGAGAAGCAGAAACGCAGGAAGAGATACGCAGACGAGCGCAAGAAGGAGCTGATCGAGGCGCTGCACCACATAGACGAGGAGAGCGGGGACCGAGTCCTGCTCAACGTCTACGAGTCCATCCAGGACGAGCTCCAAGACAAGAGCAAGCTCATAGAGAAGCTGCAGACAAAGGTGACGCTGAGTTCCGCCCCCACACAAGTCCCCGCCCCCTGGAAACCTGCATCCCCATAATATAACCCTGCGAAGCTGCAGACAAAAATGACCCTGAGCTCCGCCCACACAAGTCCCCGCCCCCTGGAAACCTGCATCTCCATAATATAACCCTGCGAAGCTGCAGACAAAAATGACCCTGAGCTCCGCCCACGAAAATCCCCGCCCCCTGGAAACCTGCATCTCCATAATATAACCCTGCGAAGCTGCAGACAAAAATGACCCTGAGCTCCGCCCACGAAAATCCCCGCCCCCTGGAAACCTGCATCTCCATAATATAACCCTGCGAAGCTGCAGACAAAAATGACCCTGAGCTCCGCCCACGAAAATCCCCGCCCCCTGGAAACCTGCATCTCCATAATATAACCCTGCGAAGCTGCAGACAAAAATGACCCTGAGCTCCGCCCACGAAAATCCCCGCCCCCTGGAAACCTGCATCTCCATAATATAACCCTGCGAAGCTGCAGACAAAAATGACCCTGAGCTCCGCCCACGAAAATCCCCGCCCCCTGGAAACCTGCATCTCCATAATATAACCCTGCGAAGCTGCAGACAAAAATGACCCTGAGCTCCGCCCACGAAAATCCCCGCCCCCTGGAAACCTGCATCTCCATAATATAACCCTGCGAAGCTGCAGACAAAAATGACCCTGAGCTCCGCCCACGAAAATCCCCGCCCCCTGGAAACCTGCATCTCCATAATATAACCCTGCGAAGCTGCAGACAAAAATGACCCTGAGCTCCGCCCACGAAAATCCCCGCCCCCTGGAAACCTGCATCTCCATAATATAACCCTGCGAAGCTGCAGACAAAAATGACCCTGAGCTCCGCCCACGAAAATCCCCGCCCCCTGGAAACCTGCATCTCCATAATATAACCCTGCGAAGCTGCAGACAAAAATGACCCTGAGCTCCGCCCACGAAAATCCCCGCCCCCTGGAAACCTGCATCTCCATAATATAACCCTGCGAAGCTGCAGACAAAAATGACCCTGAGCTCCGCCCACGAAAATCCCCGCCCCCTGGAAACCTGCATCTCCATAATATAACCCTGCGAAGCTGCAGACAAAAATGACCCTGAGCTCCGCCCACGAAAATCCCCGCCCCCTGGAAACCTGCATCTCCATAATATAACCCTGCGAAGCTGCAGACAAAAATGACCCTGAGCTCCGCCCACGAAAATCCCCGCCCCCTGGAAACCTGCATCTCCATAATATAACCCTGCGAAGCTGCAGACAAAGGTGACGCTGAGCTCCGCCCCCTCACAAGTCCCCACCCCCTGGAAACCTGCATCTCCATAATATAACCCTGCGAAGCTGCAGACAAAGGTGAGGCTGAGCTCCGCCCTCACACAAGTCCCCGCCCCCTGTAAGCCTGCATCCCCATAATATAACCCCTGGAAGCTGCAGACAAAGGTGACGCTGAGCTCCGCCCCCACACAAGTCCCCGCCCCCTGCAAACCTGCATCTCCATAATATAACCCCTGGAAGCTGCAGACAAAAGGTGACGCTGAGCTCCGCCCTCACACAAGTCCCCGCCCCCTGGAAACCTGCATCTCCATAGACAGAGACGACTACCTGGTCACCATCCGCCGCCAGGAGAGGGAGCTCCGCCTCCACCAGCAGATCGCAGAGCAGGTCCAGCCCCTCATCCGCAGAGACTGCAACTACAGCAACCTGGACAGAGTCCGGAGAGAGGCCTCCTGGGACGAGGACAGCGGCACCTGGTGGATACGTTCTGCCTGCCGGCCCCTCCCACCAGCTCTGATCTGCATTGTATAGAGAAGCACATAAGATGTGTATTGGGGACAGAAAAGCTTTATTTATAAATGTCATTATCACATTATTGAGGGGGGAGGGGGCCAAGGGAGGCAAAGTATAAGCAGATGAGACGTCAGCCATTGTTGGAGGTTGCGGTGGGGGTAGTGCAGCCACATCAGAGCTGAACGCGGCACTCAGACACGTAGATTGTATTGTTATGGTCAGTCCTGAGCGTTGTGAAACCTCACGTAGGACTCCTTACACCGGCACATCCTCTCCTCTCTCTGCAGCTCCCGGCCTCCC